ATAATGAAAAGAAATGTTCCACATTGTGTATCAGATTTCCTCACTATTTAGTTGTCCAAGTGTTTCTTGATTTTGGCTGCCATCTAATTGGTCAGCTGGTGAAAGACAGCAGATATCCTCCTAGAGTACAACTTACCTCACACTGGTTTTAAACCACTCTTTGATTGTAACTAATCCACACTGTGTGAGCTCTTAAGAAAACATGTGAGAAGGACAGTTGAAATTTGTTTTCCAAAGTCAGTAAGGAAATTTTCAAAGATAAATAAATTTTATGTCTTTGGTTTCAAGGGATACAAAAGAAGACACCTTTAATGTCTGTGACAAAGACATTTGCATGAAGTGTGAATTTGGGTCAACAAAGTTAAGAGTGGCATTAATGTCTCATTAAGGAGATGGAAGTCCTGTATCAATATCCATTTGTTTGTACCTTTTCTTTGCATAATACTAGGACTGTTATTGAAGCTGATTTTTTTTTCTCTAAAGGACCTCAGTATAATAGGTCCCTGGTTAAGATGTCTTAGTCCAGGGGCTGGGGATTTAGCTCAGCGGCATAAGCACCTGCCTTGAAAGCAGGCAGTCATGAGTTCGATCCCCGGTACCAATAAAAAGGAAAAAGACAAAAAAAAAAAAAAAAAAAAAAAAAGATGTCTTAGTCCATCCTGCATCTCTTGATCATAAATATAAGAAGTGAGAAGGATCCTTAAGATGAATCCAAATATGAATGACCTTCTCTTCTCTCACTGTCTGTCCACGTGGATGGGTCCACATGTAATACTAGCAAGGGAAACATTAGCTAGCCTCTGTCCTGGTGGGAGTAAGAGTTCTTCAGGGCCTTGGACAAGAATTTTCTTCCCAAAAGTGCAGTGGAGTTTCAGGCAATCTAAGAAATGAGTGGCTGAATTGGACTTAGCCCCTTGAACAGGCCATAGTTTCAGAGAAGTGTTCTATGGGATTTCCTGAGATTCTCCTAAAAGTGTTACTATTTACAGTCAGTGTCATGGGAGTAAATAAGAACAGAAGCTAGTGACAGTGCCAAATTCAGAAGTTAATAGATAATACCCAGACACATGAATAAGGTTTTCTGGAGCAGCAATAAAAGAGGATCCAGAATATGATGTGCCCCCTATCTCCTGAACTAAGACTTCTTCACCCTATAAGCTGTACCAATGGAACTAGTCAGAAGGCTGAGACATAGATTCTGAAATCTATCCCAAAGTAGGAGTCTGGGGAAACAACAGTTTTGTATAAGCATCTGAAAAACCTGCTTAAACCATGGCTGATTAGAAAAACCCTAAGGGCTTTCTCATTAGGAGGGTTAAGAAGCAATTAACTGGTCAAGTGCATGAGAGTTAAGACTTTTCCTCTGATGAAAGATTATAATTAACTTGGAGTGATGAAATCACTGTAGTACCAGTAGACTGCTAAGAGGAGGGAGAGTAAGGAAGCATGAATCAGGGCCATTCAAATGTTCCTTCTAACTCATGAAGTAATCCAATGGGCACAGAAACTAGTTCTTCTTGCTGGACTCCTGCTGGTTCTCCTTTATGACTGAAAATGTACATTACCATAAGAAAATAATTTTGGATTTGTATCCAAAGGTCAGTGGGTTGGTTATTATACCAATTAAAGCCCTTGTCTTTACTGTATTTGCAAAAGTGATAACTTTGACTTGAGCATCCCAATTTAGAAAGTATCTAAAGTTCCTCATTTTTGAGACACAAAGCAGCAATCTGGAAAGAAGTCATAGCTTAAGGTTGCTGATCAGGTATCGTGGCACCTGCCTATAGTCCCAGTACTTGTGAAGCTGTGGCATGAGGAACACTGCGATTTCAAGGGCAACTGGTGGTACAAAATGTGTTCAAGACTCCCCAGAACTGCATAGTGAGACCCTGCCTCAAAAAAAGACCAAATAAAAGATTCTGTACAAATATTTTCCAGAGATATTTCAGAACTCCTGATTTCTCCTCCTTCCTAATATCAATGAACCTAAATTTTGTAGTGCCCATTATTCATGAGCAAGGCAATGCTTGCATAAAAATGGTGTTTCAGATGGCAAGTGCACATGCCAATGCTGAGCACACTGCAGTGAAAGTCTGCAGTGCCTCCCTTACTATGGGTACTCCTTATCCCACACCAAGGGCCCAGGGTCCTCTGATGCCTGATAAAAGGCCTGACCATGGACACTGCTCCATACCAAATAATGACGAGCATGCTGTGGGACAGGAAGGTGGGAATGGAAGCAGTTTATTCTATCTCTGTTCATTTCCATTTAGGTTACATGTACTGACCATGTCTGGCACTCTTCAGTGGAGTTTTCTTTAGCTCCAGATGAACCCCCACTTGCTGCATTTGATGGAGTTCTTGGAGGGCAATAGCATTCCTCCGTAATGACTTGCTTTTCTCTAGACCCTTTGTTGTCTCTAAAGTGATAAAATGAGCAAGTGAGGCAAAACCACTGCCTTTGTCTCAAAATCAATGCATCTGGAAAGTTAGGATTGAAGTAATGAGAGTGTAAGTTTACTATTTTATGGCAAATATAGAAAGAAAGCTGTCTTAGCTTAACAGACTGGACTGCAAGACAGGCGATCTTTGGCTCATTGACAAATGATTTTCTGCTATATTAATTCAGGTAATCTAAGTTCTAAAAATAACTATTGCTAATTGGTGCACTCTAGCCTGATCAGCCTCTAACCTTTGTTTCTGCAGTGCCAAAAAGCTCAGTTGGGTCTCACACACAGAGCAAATGCATGTGATAGTTTTGCAAGGGACAGATTGTAAGCAAATGGGGCACAATAAATGGGATAAGTATGTAAAGTCCCACACCTCATCATGCAGTGACTTGGAGGGTTGATTGGAGATTCATGACACATTTGTGAGGTTTCAGTGTGGGTGAGACTATGTTGTATGCCCTGAGTTTTCTCTCAGCACAGACCAGGTATATTTTATATCTTCTAAATATCACATGAGCTTGCAATTCAGTGGGCCTTCTCCTCATCAGTGAATTCATTCAGTAGCGATTTCAGTTTCAGAATGTGGTGTTAGGACATGGGTACTTTTTAAAGACATATCACTAAAGACAGGACATGGAAAAGTGTGCTGCTTTTGCAGTTCCTGTCATCTTTCCCTCCATTCATGCTGACAGAAAGACTTGTAGTTCCTATGGCTCTAGGATGACCAGTGGCTCTCACTGGAAAGGGGGCCATGAGTTGAGTGCCCAAGTCTTTTATCAGTATTAATTTGGGACACAGGCATGGGTTATAGCAAAGTGCATGGAAGGAAAACATTACAGGTATGGCATTTGGTAGAGAAACAAAGCAGTCTTGTGCCAGCCATAGAGGCTCCCCAATTAGTAGTGCAACAGATAATTGGATATGAGAAAGGCTGCACTTTGACTACCACAAAGGTATACTTCTTTTTGAGTCCCATGGCATCAGCTGAGATGTTATCTCATGTCTTCACCCCAGCATCTAAAAGGTGTTTGGACAGAAAGTTTTCACTGAAAACAAGAAGGATGAAAATAATCTCTGACAACTTTCATAGGGCACTGAATATTAAACACAAACTGAGGCTCCTTGAAGCCAAGCGTCTACATATGCTTTGTGTATGCGTGGAAAGATTGAAAAAGCATCTTGTCTCACTTAACTGCTACAATATATGGATAGTTTGTGGATACTTTTTAACAAATGAAATGCTAGCTGGCTGTTTTGTTACATGACTATAATTCTAGTACCAAGGAGGTTGAAATGGGTGGATTCTTTGTTGTTCAGTTTTACCCTGCACTACATAATAAGTTCAATTCCAGTCTTACTACAAAGGAAGACCTGTCTTAAAAATAAAAAGCTGACATGCTGAATGAGGTAGGACAATGAGTAGAAGCAGTATTACAGCAGGTGAAAAGTGCCAAGTGTAGGTCTACAGGCCTATCAGTAATTAGGTGTAGAACACAGTTCTGTATAAGAAGGAGCACAGGGGAGGATATATAACATGAGGAAGCAGTGGATGGCAGCGGGTGGCAAAATCAGCTCCTGAACAAAAAATTCACTTCTGAAAACTGCCTAGTGCTCAACTTAACTATGAGCTGTATGCTGACCAAAATTTGATGATGACTGAGACATGTAGGCTGAAAGAAAAATAGAAATTTACATCATTATAGAAAAAATTCTTTGTTACTATTACAGTCACCTCATGATTTTAAGTACAATTATAAATTTTATTTCCCATTTTAGCTTAAAATTAATTGGGCAACATTATCTCAGTGTAATGGAGATGGCTTTTCACAGGAAAGGGAAAAATTGAAAGGTATTTGTTGTGTCAGTAGGAATTCAGCTTAGGACTTCTCAGGAAAATCTGACTGTTTACACCTCCAGTTGTCATTATTTGGAATTTTGACACTTATTCTCAGTATATAGCTCAGGCTGAGCTTGAAGGTCTGACAACTCCTGTCACAGCCTCCCAGCATGATGTGATCACAGTTGTGGATCACAATATACTATGATAATAGTGCTTGGTTACATTCAGCATACTATTTTATATTTTTTTATGTCAAAAGTGTTGAAATTTTTATTATTGGGAATGTGCAGGGGCCATTTTGAAAGTTATTTTCAGTGACCTTCCTCAAGATAAGTATCTGAATTTGAGGTTAGTTGTGTTTTATATAAGTTTTTTATTGGCGGGGAGAATCTAAAACTGATAATTTTTCAAGATGGAGGTATGTCCACTCCTTTTTGTCACAAGCTATTATAAAGAAGCTGGTTTTTTTGTTATCCATGTTTTTTCAGTCAGTGTCTCACTATGTAGATCGTGTTGGCCTTGAACTAACATTGTGACCAACAACAGTCTTGAACACATGAGAATCCACCTTCCTCAGCCCCGAGTGCTGGAATTATAGACATGCACCACCACATTTCGCTCTCAGTTACACATTTTTATAAGAAGAGTTCAGGTAGGCCAAGCTGCAAGTCTTCAATCTTCCTTCAAGAAAAATATGTATGATCATTTAGGAGTCAGTGACCTTTGAGGATGTGGCTGTGAACTTCACCCCTGAGGAGTGGACTTTGCTGAGTGCATCCCAAAAGAAGCTCTACAGAGATGTGATGGAGGAAACCTTTAGGAACATGGTGATTACAGGTAAGGATGACATCTCTTTGTTATTGATACACTCAGAGGATATTGTTTGTTGCTCTTAAGTGCATTTCATTAAACAGATTTGGAAAAAATAAATCTGGCCTGCTTACATTATATCATGAATCTAATTGGCATCTGTTAACTTTTATGTAATAATGTAATGACTCCTTATACTTCTTTGTCTATAAATCAGGAAGACACTTGGATATTCAGAGAGTGGAAGAGGAGTACAATGACTATTGGAGAAATCTAAGGTAATCTGCGTTTATAAGAAAAAAGCATACTCCTTAAGAGACCACATAAGGAGAAACATGAAAATCGAAATGCTGACACTATCTTCACTTTATTTTATACCACAAGTACTCTCCAAAAATATATACCAACTTGAATATGTAAAATCTGAAAACTAAACACAAAAGTATTCCAACATAGGGAACTGAATTACAACTGAAATCATACAAATGACACTATCTGATATGTAATATAAAAAATGTTCCTTTATCATCAACATCATGAATATGGATGACATTGCACTTAGGTGTTTTGTATAGATGTAGATGAGGTGATAGATAAAGGAAAGTGATATTTTAGAGATGAGAAAGACAAGGTAAGAGTAGAACATGAATAGTGAATGGGAAAAGGTATTAAAATAATATATGACATAAGTAATTGTAAGTTGCTCACAATAAAACTACATTTACTCCATTATAAAATGCAGCAACTTAAAAATTCCCAAATATATATCACTTTTAGGGAAAAACTGTCTTGAAAGAATCCTCCCATGGATTAATTTAATTCACTATCAAATTTCTTAGCAGACATGAAAAGAGAATGTGTTCTGTTGAATCATTGTATGGAGAGCTATTATATTTTGACTTGTTTTGCTTTTACAGACATGAAGAGGTTCAGAAATGCCATCAATATAAAGCTTGGAATCAGCATAAAGAAAGCTTCCTTTGGAGTCACAATGCTAATGCCCATATGAAGCAATGTGGTTTAAAGCCAATTGAGAGTCTTTCTTGTAGACAGTCCCCGATTGTGGATTTGTCCCTAAATGTTCCCTTCAGAACTCACACTGCACTGAAGCGAAATGAGTATTTGGAATTTGAAGAGAAGCTATTTAAATGTAATGAAAATAGAAAAAACTGTGATGATTTGCAATCCTTTCAGAATCACACAAGGACAGAGCCTGGCAAGAAAACATATGAACATTATCAGTGTGAGAAATCCTGCTCTGTTCTTAGTGAAAGAACTGATCTTGGAGACAAGACCTTTGTATGTCAGAAAAACTTGAATACCTCCAGCAAAATCAATGATGTGCAGATGTATCAGACAAATCTCAGTAGGGGTATAACCTCTGAACACAAGCAATGTGGGAATGCTTTCAGCACACATACTATTTGTCAACAATATGAAAGAATTCAGATGGAAGAGGAAAAGTATGTATGTAAGCAATGTGGGAAAGGGTTTAGGAAAAAAAGTCATTATCAAAGACATGAAAGAACTCACACTGGTGAAAAACCTTATGTATGTAAGCAATGTGGGAAAGCTTTTGGCACACAGCAGCATTGTAGAAGACATGAAAGAACTCACCTTGCAGACAAACCTTATGTGTGTAAGCAATGTGGGAAAGCTTTCAGCACACAGAAGTCTTATAAAATACATGAAAGAATTCACACTGGTGAGAAACCTTATATATGTAAGCAATGTGGGAAAGTGTTCACTACACTTAGTATTTGTCAAAGGCATGAGAGAAGTCACACTGAAGAGAAACATTATGTATGTAAGCAGTGTGGGAAAGCTTTCAAGAGACGTGGTAATTGTCAAACTCATGAAAGACTTCACACTGGAGAGAAACTCTATGTATGTAAGGAGTGTGGGAAAGCTTTCAGCAGACGTCATTATTGTCAAAATCATGAAAGAAATCACACTGGAGAGAAACCCTATGTATGTAATGAATGTGGGAAAGCTTTTGGTACACGTAATATTTGTCGAACACATGAAAGAATTCACATGGAGAAAAAACCTTATGTATGTAAGCAATGTGGGAAAGGTTTCAATACAAAATCTCATTGTCAAACACATGAAAGAATTCACACTGGAGAGAAACCCTATGTATGTAAGCAGTGTGGGAAAGCTTTCAGCAGAGGTTATGATTGTCGAAATCATGAAAGACTTCACACTGGAGAGAAACCCTATGTATGTAAACAGTGTGGGAAAGCTTTTAGCGCACGTCGTTATTGTCAAAATCATGAAAGACTTCACACTGGAGAGAAACCCTATGTATGTAATGAATGTGGGAAAGCTTTCAGTACACGTAGTATTTGTCGAACACATGAAAGAATTCACATGGAGGAGAAACCCTATGTATGTAAGCAATGTGGGAAAGGTTTCAATACAAAAGCTCATTATCAGTCACATGAAAGGACTCACACTGGAGAGAAGCCATACACATGTGAGCCATTTGGAAAAGCTTTCAGCACATGTAATTATGAAATACATGAAAGAAGCTATAGTGTAAAAACTATGCAAGCAAGCAATGTAGAAAGGGATCTGCTAGGTCTTCATTGTATAGACATTAAAAAACTCAATGGGGAGTAGCCCCATGTCTGTAAGCAATGTGAAAGATGTTTCATTACACACACATTTTCAAACATAGGAATATATATTTTATGTCATGTAGAATCTAGATATGTAAGAAGAATCTATACAGTGTTTAAACACATTGATTTGTCATAATGAAGTGTTTTTATCTGAGTGTCCAAGCTTACTACATAGTGTAAGCTATGGTTGATACAGGTAGTATTCGCACTTTATGCTACCTTACCTTAGAGCCAGCTGATTATGGACTGAAACACCTACAAACATAAGCTTAATAAACCTTTCTTCATTTTTGGTATTGAGTGTTTTCTCCCTGAAAGAACAGAAAATGAAAATTAACCAAGACACCACTATGCCAAACCAACAACCAATGTTAAATTAAATGGTGAAAAATTGAAAACTTTGGAAAACCAACAAGAGAAGGATATCCACTATCAAAATTCCCATTCAATATAGATCTGGAAACATTAGCTAGAGCAATTAGATAAAAATAAGTTAAATTATTGCTTGCAGGTGACATGTGTTCTACACGAAGACCACAAAACTTAAAATGATTCTACATTTTCTAATCATGTTCAGCTGCATACCTGGATACATAGCCAATACACAAAAACCAGTATCATTCCTGTACAAAACCAACAAACTCACAGAGAAAGAGTTTAGGGAAATCACACCCTCGCAAAATCATCCACCCTCCATGAAATACTTGGGAATCGACCTAACATGGAAAGTAAACAGTCTCTCCATTTGAACTACAGTACTCTGAAAAAGAAATTAAACAAGATACCAGAAAAGGCAATTTCATAGGAATAACTATGTTTTCATAGGAAGAGCTAATATAGTAAAAATGAGTATAGTCCCAAAATTGTTATACAGATTTAAGACAATCCCAATGGAAATAATATTAGACTATCTCAGGGAACCGGAGTAAACTAACATTCCTCAAATTCTTTGGTAATCAAAAGAGACCTTAGAATGTCAAAAAACAATTCTGGACAACAAAAGCAAGGAAACAGGCATCAAAATGCCACATTTCAAATTACACTACAGATACAAGTGGGAAGGTGCTGGCAAAAAAGCAAACCAGTGTGATAAAAAGAAGCACAAATTATTTCAAACACACATAGCTTTTTATCTTTGACAAAGTGACCAGTGATACTCCTGGAAGAAACAAATCCTTTTTAATAAATGGTTCGGTAAAAACTGGCTTTTCACATGTCAAAGGGTAGAACTAAAACCATATTGATCACCATGAAATGAACTAAAATCATAATGTACCAATGAGTTAAATGTTAAAGCAGGAACATTCAATCTGCTGGAAGAGAGAATAGGTAAAAACGTTCACTAGCTAGTTGTAGACAAAGGCTGCAAGAAAAATAGTCCTAACTGCATGAAAAATACAAAGAATTAACAGTTGGAATCTTGTCTTAATTAAAGCTTCTGCACAGCACAAGAAGTCACCAACAGAGTTAAAAGCCAACCCAGAGTCGGAAAAAGTCCTAGCCAGGTGAGATTCAGCTGAAGTAATATATAGAACACATGAAGAATCAAAAAAGTCACACCCCAAATTTAAAGACTACCCAAAAATGGGCATCTGAAATGAGTAAACACTGAAAAATAAAAATATAAATTAAGGTGTGAAAAAATGTTGAACATCACGATTAAAAGAGATGTAAATTAAAACATTCCATCTCCAAAAGTATGGCTGTTATCAACCAATAATAAGTGCTGTTGGTACTGTGAAGAAAATAGAAACCTTCTCCATTGCTGCTGTGGGTGTAGACTAGGGCAAGGATTTTGGAAATCTGTATGATGGTTCCTCAAATATCTAGGATTAATGCTCTCATTTGACCAAGCTATTCCCTTTCTGAGGACCTTCTGTTGAGAATTAGAAACATCTTACCACATAAATATATCAGCACATTTTGTAATAGCTAAATCTTGGAAACAACCCAAGTGCCCATCAAGCCAGATACAGGTAAAAAAAAAAAAAAGGTTTATTTCATGATGGAGCCTTACTTGGCCATATAGAAGGAAAAGCTTGAGACATTTATAGGTAAATGGATGGATCTTGAAACCATATTCTTAAGTAAATTAATTAGACGTGTAAATTTTACAGTTTCTCTGCTGTGAGCAATTGCAAGTGTCAGGAATACCAAAACATATAATTGACATGTGAAATAGATAAAAACTGTTCAAATGGAATTGCAGGGGAATAGAAGGGAAAGAATAAATGAGAAAACTAATAAAATAGAAGCAAATCTTTGTGCATAATAAGAAGGGTTGAAGAAAATGGAAGGAAATAGGACAAAAGAGGAACTAAATAAGTGAGCTATAGGTAGACATTCCTTATAATGAATGTCATGATGTGTAACTATATTGTACCAATAATCTTAATCTACAAAGAAAAATACCTAAAAATAAAAAAACTACAGAATTTACACATTAAAGAAATGATCAATGTGAAAACTGGTATTGAGAACACAATATTGAGTTATGATTAAATGCTTGAGGCAGCAAACAAGGAGAGAAGACTTCAGTAGCTACTAGATGGCAAGAAGACAAATCTTATGCTAGTTGTAGGTAGAGGAAAAATTAGATGATAGCACAGTATAATCCACTAATATGTTTATAGTAATTATGGGAGGAATATTTCAAAACATAAGAAACGAGTTTCAAGTGCAAATAAGCAAATCTGGTAGAACACTAAATTATGATGGAAAAAGTGGCTCACCAAGGCATACCATTAAATTATGAGATATTTAGATAAAACAATTTTAAAAGCAGTCAGACAAAAACAGAAACTGACATAAATGCCAACCAAATAGAATTACTGCAGATTTCTAACCACAAATGACTCCAGAAGATCTTGATGTGAATTAATTCAAGGAAAAATAGCAGAAAACTTACAACCCAGGTTAACTTTCCCATAAAAGCTAATCTTTTTTTTAAAATGGAGGAATAGGGTATTTTCATGAAAAAGTTCATCTCACGAGATGTAAGTGCTAAACTATATAGAAAATACTATTTTGGACAGAAGCAATGAATCAGATGTAACTAAAAATACACATAGGATACTTGTGAGTAGGTACACAACAATAAAAAATTATGAAAAAATTTCCAAAGCACAAACCAACAGGTAAAGAATTTAATGATAGTAGATAGCCAACAAAAGTTAGTAATATTACTAAATATGAATAGCCTGATCTCTTCAGTTAAAAGACGGAGAGTGACAGTGAATTAAAAATAAAAACAATTCAGAAATCTGTTGCATTTAAGAAACTCACTTAATTCAAAGAGATAATCCTAAAGTATCAAAAGATGGAACACATTTCATGCATCATGTTACAATTTGTGTCTAAATATCCTCTTAAAGCGTCAATAATTCATACGTAGGGCCTTCTCAGAGGTAGCAGGACATAGAATGAATAAGGCTAGGATTGATTCATAGTGCCATGCTAGCCTCAGGAGTACTAGGAGTAAGGCAGTATTACCTATGCTATGTAGCCTAATAAGATGTAAGGGATAAAAAGCATTGCAGTCTTCACTTAATTACTTTTCCTGTCTTTGTAAGACCTGACATGACAGAGACCTTCACGGTGCACTCTAGAAGCAACTGGAATCCACAAGCAAGAATTGGCAGCCATAAAGGAACATAGGCGTTGACCTGCATTTTTTCCAATGCTAAATTATCCAGGTTTATATGCACACCTATGGTGATCATCCTGGCAGGTTTAGTCTCAAAAATTCCATCCAGATTCACGCCAACCACAAAGCCTAATATATGTAGCCTCCCCTACAATATTTGTTAATATCACTCTGATTTCAGCCTGCCTGGCCTAAGAATTAAATGAAGTGTTTTCCATAATCTCAGTCTCTGAATGTGTTTATGTGCTATTAATTCACTTTAGATTCCAAAACCTGGGGTCATAGGGTCCCTTTTGAGAGGGTACAACACCCTATCTAGAACCTTTTTTAGCTTAGCCCATATGGTGACATTGACTCCAGACATTCCTCCAATGCTACAGGCAGCTACCCAGTATCTACCACACAACTTCAGATGAGATAAGCTCTATCCCTTTCTCGTGTCCTAACACTTTCTTGTGCTTTATAGATCCTCCCACCCTGGCACCCTCCACTGCCACCTATTGCTGCACATTTAAGCATCTGTGTGCCTGACCTCCTTCTGTGCTGCCAGCTACTATTTGGTTCTGACTCTCCCTTCACCCCTTGGGACAGAGGAAACTCTCACTTCTCCATGCTTTTAAACCTAGCACTATTCATAGTCACTTCCTGGGGAGATGCTTTCCATTGGCAATTGATCAGAGATATCAACAATTTTGCTTATTAACTTATGTTCCTTTTTAGCCTTGTCACAGCTGAAGATGTCCACTACAGCCCCTGGTGCTGATCTTATTTTGCAAACAGATGTGACAGTTACCTCTTTCTGTTCCTGATGAGGAATGTACCTCCTATTGCTCCTTCCTCCCCTCTAGCCTGTCACAAAATATCTGAAACATCATTGTCTCTAACCCAATCTGAACTGATTTATCTAATGTTTTCTGTGTAACACTGCCTGGCTAGTGTGCAAACTGGGAAATGATTTAAGGTACTCAGAAAAATGGTACCTCTGACCCCTTCATACTTAGGGACACTCATTGCTAAGGCTAAAAATGTGTTCCAAAGTGCCCTACATTCAGGCATTCTTTATACTCTGTAATTTTGCAATTTTGTGCACCTCATGTGACCCTTCCAAAATCTTTCTTTCCCTCCCCTCTACAAAAACTTCATGAGATGTGAACTCCTCTCTGCCAACATAGCTAATAGATGTTATACTCTCCTGGAATATCTGGAAACTTCTGATGCTGGAGCATCTTCTCATGCTCTGAAGACTTCTGCTGTTGCAGCCCCCCACCCTCCTTGGTGGACACCTGATGCTACAACTGCTTTTCCAACCACCAATGGATTCCCATGCCCTCTACAGTCACTCTCTCCACTCCTGTTAAGTCTTCTGTGACTCAGGTGCCTGTTCCCCCAATTATATGGCAATTTCTCTTGAATGTAATCCTGAAGCATACCCTGCACCTGCTAAACCCAGCCCCATTCCACACTATACCTGAAATGGGTTGCAGTTTGGCTCAAAAATCTTGCCCCTGCATCCTAGGTCTCACTTCTGGAATTACCATGCGCAAAGGGGATTTTTAGAGTTCTCTTGGCTTTCTCTTTGATAGATCTTTCACAAATAAACAGCATATGAACTCCTCCTCAGATTTCATCCAATATATACAGGAGTTTCAACATCTAGCTAAATCATACAACCTACCCTGGAGTGATTTAAGTGACATCCTTGGTTTTGCTCTTCAGAAGAGCAGAAATTAGTAATCTTATTTCAGTCCCTTTGGGATTGATGACACCTACAGGCCAATCTTCCTGTAGGCACTACAGCCATCCCTTGGGAAAACCCTAAGTCAAAATTTTAGAACCTCAGGAAATAGGCAATATCACATGATTTCTTACTTAATAAAAGGACTTAATGGGATGGCTCATAAGGCAATTAGTTTTAATAAACTAATGAAACTACTCAAAATAAAGATAATCACACAGCTCACCTGATAACTGGCTTAACAGGTACCCTTAGACAATACACAGTTTTACATAAAGAAAGACAAGAGGGAAAACTTAATCTAAAATACATTTTATTAGCCAATCAGCACAAAACATTTGCCAAAAAAATAAAGGTACAGAAAGTAGGACCTGGCCCTCAAACTCTACAAGGAGATGTTATCGATTGGGTTTTCAAAGATTTTAATAATAGACATGAAAGTGTTGAAAATCTGCATTTCTGAGCTGCTGATGTTTGCTTCTGGTTAGCCCAAAGCTAAAAGTGATTCTGAGAACTTTCTGGTCCCTAGGGCCATGCTTCTCATGCTGCAAGAATGGGGATTAGGCTAGGAAATGCCCATAGCCTGGGGTTCCCCCTAAGTTGTGTCCTTCCTGTGGACATCTTCTCTGGAAGTTAAATTCTCTAACTCCGGAAGCTCCCCTGCCATCTGGATAACGGTCCCAGGACTCTCCTCCTCCAACCAGCCCCCCGACTTTCATGCCTTGGCCTCTGAAGACTGATTAGGCCCAAAACCTGTAAAGTGCCCCTGGAATATTTCAAACATCAAGCTCCAGGTGATTCTTAGAGAAGAGGGTAAGTTCATCACATTCTTAATCAACACAGCTGCTTGTCAGTTCACTTTGCCTTCCTTCCTAGGACCAACTTCCCATGCTCCAATACTGTTGTGGATTTTGCTGTTAAATATTCAAGAGCCTTAAACACTATCCTAATGAGTGCCATTTGTGTCAACACATTTTCCTGCACTCATTTTTAGTCATGCTTACCTGTGCTGTTCTGCTTTTAGAATGAGACATCTTAACCAAGTTGTCAGGTAATCTCCCACATGTTCCTTCTACTGTAGCATCTCTGATCTTGGAGGCATGGAAGATCAGTATATATGCTTCCCTCAGTGTTTATCACCCCTATAATCTTTTTTTTTTTTTTTGTCTTTTTCCTTTTTATCTGTACCAGGGATCGAACTCACGACTGCCTGCTTGCAAGGCAGGCGCTTATGCCGCTGAGCTAAATCCCCAGCCCCTCACCCCTATAATCTTAAGGGATTCATGTCTTCACCCTACCTCTGACACTTTCAAACCTTCTTTCACCTTCTTCAGCTCTGTGTGCTTTTTTTTTTTTTTTTTTTTTTTTTTGTCTTTTTCGTTTTTATCGGTACCAGGGATCGAACTCATGACTGCCTGCTTGCAAGGCAGGCGCTTATGCTGCTGAGCTAAATCCCCAGCCCCTCTGTGTGCTTTTCATAAAAACTCCCACTGATACCATTGCCCTGGGCTCTGCCTTTAAATTTGTCAATTTATTAATCCACCTCCATTTCAGGAACCAGAGCCACACATCTATATGTTCCTAATCCACTTAGCATCAACTCAACTTCCACACACCTCTACCTTCATCCTTTCCAAACCCTGGTTGCATCTGGTTCATCAATGTAACTTCATTTAAAAATATCCCCAACGTGAGGGTAGGAGCACAGATGGCGGACAGATAACAACTGGCTACAGAAGCTCCCTGAGATATTCAACATAATACAGAGTGGGGAGCCCCAAACAGAGGAAGATGAATTCTCTCATCCCAAGAAAAAATTAAGGCAACTTGCCAACCATCCGAGGCCCTGCTGTGACTGGCTGATGCTATGGCTTGCCGGGGTCCCACCATGACTGGCCAGGTCCCAATGTGGCTGGCTGGGGTTCTGCCATGACTGGCCAGGGTCCCGCCATGATTTGCCAAGCTCCTGCTGCAACTTGCCGAGCTGTCCAAGGTCCCACTGCTTCAACTCACTGGAGGTGCAGTTACATTGAGTTCGAGGGTCAGCGAGCCGAACAGAGAGCTGAGTTGGCCAGGAGCCTACATCGACCTGTGGTGAGTGATGGGAGTGGAGCCATTCCATAAATAGGGGGAGCTCCAGCAGGCAACATTCTGGGACTGGGCAGGACTGGCAAGTACAAGGGGCAGCAGTGACTTCAGTCAGTTGTTCCCTTCCCAAACAGGATTGGTGGAGTGAGGTAGGCCTGGGTCATGTGACCCACCAAAGACCCAATAGGTTATCTGAGGTCAAGTCCCTGAAGTGGTGGCACACACTAACCATACTAGCCCAGAAGTGCCTCAGAGGTTTGGTTGGTCTGGAGGGGAGGCAATGCAAAGTAATACAGTAGTGCAGGCCACAGCAGCTTGACTCATCAGAGGGGAGGGACCAGCATTTGCTGTCCCTGTCTGCAACTCACTAGCACACTACAATGGGGAGGGTCATCTAGCCTGCACACTTCAGAAGAATTCTAACTAACAAAGAAAGAAACTGGGGCCTCCTGGAAGAAGCAAAAAAGATGGGAAGAGGAAGCAACAACAAAAACTCCGCAGGCCCCAAACCTGAGGACATTGACTCAGGACAAGTAAATACAAAGGCGAATGAGAACAGCAAACACAATATCAGACACGGCACCAGTGGACATAAAGAGATATATTCAGGACCTCATAGACAAGTTCAACAGTGAAATATTTAGCCAAATAAAGCCAGATATAAGAAGATTAATAGGGGCTGGGATTTAGCTCAGTGGCATAAGCACCTTTCTTGCAAGCAGGCAGTCATGAGTTCAATCCTGGTACTGATAAAAAGTTAAAAAAAAAAAAAGAAGATTAATAAAAGAGATAGTAAGCACCCCTCAAGCAGACACAGACAGAAGAAAGGAAGAACTCAAACACAGGAGAGAACTATTTGGTGAAGAATATAAAAAAAAATATAGAATACAAGAAGCAGATTCAAAGAGATTATGAGGAAACTAAAAACTCTATGGAAAGATGGCAAATCAGCTTGAAAGAAACTAAGGATAGATTATCCAAACTGGAGGACAATTTTGCCATGTGGGAGTATGAAAGGGAAAACTTCTTTAACAAAGAAACAAACAGTAACAATACAAAGGCTAGAAGATGACAAAAGGATCTATAAATTGAGAATAAAGAATGTAAATGAAGCAGCTGGGGTACAAACAAAGGAACTACAAAGGCCATTCACAGAAATAATTAAGGAAAACATCCCAAACATAGGAAAAGGAAATGATATCCTGATATATGAGGCATACAGAACTCCAGCCACCTATAACCAAAACAGAGCTACACCCAGACATATAATAATCAAGATCCCAGAAAATCAATATAAGAACAGAATATTAAAAGCTGTTAGAGACAAGAAACAGATAACCAATAGAGGAAGGCCCATCAGAATAATGACAGACTTCTCAACACAAACCATCAAGTCA